TGTGTGTGTGTGTGTGTGTGTGTGTGTGTGTGTGTGTGTGTGTGTGTGTGTGTGTGTGTGTGTGTGCGTGTGTGTGTGGTGGTTTGGCATGACGCCTAATGACTTTAAAGTCACAGACAGGTAGGTGGAAGGTGTATGCGTGTGTCTTTGTCTTTGATTTGTTCCCTGCCACCCTGTGAGCTGCTCAGCACACCCAGAGGCTTTCTCCTGTTTCTGGCATCTTGCCACCAGGAGACAGAAATACTGTACGTCTCCGGCCGGATTCAAACAGCGCACCACCGACGCATCGGCACAACCCAGAGAGCAGCATGGATACAACTTTAACAACACGACCCTTGATGTTTTAACGCTGGTCTGAATCCCAGCTGATAAGCGTCACATATGGACGCATTTCAAAACAATTGGTCAACGTTTTGATTTCCAACGAAACTACTTGGTTATGAAATAACCAAAAAACATAATTTGGGGTAAACGGTCACATACGGACGCAGTTTAAAACACGTGGTCGACGATGTGAATTCATCAAAACTACTTGTTCTGTTGAGGAAATGGTTTGGGTTAAAAAAAGGTTTGTTTGTGTTTGTTAATTACGTTTATTTCTAAAGGCGTGGTTAACGTTGTGAAGTCAAACAAAAGTACTTGGTTATGTTCAGGAAAAGATCGTGTTGAGGTTGACATAAGTATGTTTGTTACATGAATTAAGTTACGTACGTAAGTTAAGTATCAAACGTAAGTACAGTGAGTCAGCGTTGACTTGGTTTCACTGAGGGACACGAACAGCGGTTTACAGGGTGAAAGTCCTGAGTTTGTCTGAACAATCCAACCAGCCCGACCTCCTCAATATGCAGACCTTCTCCATCTTCCTCCTGCGTCACATGACTTCCAGAGCTCTTCCTCTGAGCACATGAATAGTGATAACGCACAGAATGACTCAAGAGATGTATTCGTAGATGATTTGGTGATACCGAGCTGGACTGGCAGCAGTTTGTGGTTTAGTGCCTTGCTCATGAACACTTGATAATGCTAGAAAGAGGAGGCAGGAGTCGAACTACCAGCCCTGTGAATACTCGACCGAAGGTGAATTAGATGTGAAAAATAAAGGCGTCATTTAGAAACATTCATTTCTAAATGACTTGTTCATGATAGCGAATAAAGAAAGATATTTTTACGTGAAAAAACTTGTGTGATGTACAAAAAACAGATTATTATGATTTATGTGACACGCTGTCCTACAATGCCAACAGGCTCCAGGGTGACAGTTACACTTCACTTATAGTCTAATAAACAAACGCATCATTAAATCATCAAGTTACCGCTGTTTCTTGTTTTCTCTCTTGATCTGATGATAATGATGATGATAATGATGATGACGATGATGATGATGATGAGGAGGAGGAGGAGGAGGAGGAGGAGGAGGAGGAGGAGTGGTGGTGGTGGCGACAGGACCAGTCTGGACATGATGCCAACCCCCACGCTCCTCCCCCTCATCACCAAACCCCCCCCCCCCCTCTGGCTTTAAATGGCAACCACAGACTTTCTCTGGAGGTTTGCAGGACAAACATCACTAATTAGGGATCATTTTCCTTTTGCTTTTTTTCAATCATGTCTGTTTGGGAGGAGCTGAAAGGTAAGAGAGGGAGACTCACTCACACGCACAATAAGCCAAGCATATTAAACAACAGCTGAAGCTGTATGTGAATAAAAGTGACCAGCTGATGCAGTTTTCTTAAACAGAGTTAACTGTATATTTGGTTTTGAGCTTAATGCTGCTTCTAATGCAACATGTGCAGAATCTGAAACGGATGTTTCACAGATGGACGCAGCATCGATACTGAAACATTCCTATCAGTTCACTTTGCCGTCTGCAGATTTTAAATCTGAGAAACAGGTGGTACATGTACGTGGTACACGTACCATCGTGGTACGCGGTACTTGTACGCATCACAGCTCTGTCACTTCTATCTAGTTTTTTTCCACCTTTCACTCACCTAACCAGTTCATTCAGTGCACCTGCCAGTCACACCCGCCTCATCAGCTCATCACTCTCACCTGCTCACTCTGCCTCCTCCACTATTTAAACCCCTGCCTCACACACACTCACTGCCAGATCGTTCTCTGCTTTCATGCTTAACTTTCCCGCATTCACCCATGGACTGATTCCCTGTTGCCGACCCTGCCTGTTCCGGACTACCTCGCCTTGCCTCTGCCCTGGTAACTTACTCAGCCTTCTGTCCTTGACCCCGAGAATCCTGTCGCTGTTCTTCCTGAGAATATTCTTCCTGCCGTGTGTTGAAGAAAATAAAGAACTCAAATCAAACTATTCCTGGTGTTGTCGTACTGCTCCTGGGTCCTAACTACACCGTTACAGTACGTGGTACTTGTACGTGTACTCGATCCTCCCGTATTTGGATTCACCGTCAACATGTTTTCTCTGGAACATCTCAAACAGGACAATCATAGCTGGTTAAGTGTGAATCATTAACACGTGTGATCACTGAAACATGCAAACATCCCACTGCAGTGACTTATTGTTGTACTGATGACACTCGGAGTCTGGATGTGGAGCAACATCTGCTGGGTTTCTCTCTGGCGTTGACTAAACAGGAGGAAGGTGGATTTACTGCACTGATAATGAAACTAAAGATTAGACTAAAGAGAGTCTGGAAGGAGTGAAACGCTCTCAACAAGTGTTGCTAATTATTTGCTTCAGTCATTTATAAAAGGACAGAAACTAAACGGTTCCTGGTTGCAGCTTCACCAATGTGAGGATTTACTTGCTTTTCTGTTTCCTGTCATTGTAAACACAATACTTTCTTATTGCTGATTTAAAAAAAGACAACTGAGATCTTTCAACTTGCAATGAATCACTGATGTTGACAATTTATAGTAAAATGCATCGAAATCAATTAAATTAAACATAATAAATCAATAAGTAGTTTGATTAATTTCACTCATTTGTGTACAAGCATCAATCTCCTGTTGCAGAAGCTTATTAAAATGATGTATTATTGATATTCCTGTGTGTGTGTGTGTGTGTGTGTGTAATGATCCCTGTGTCACACTCTGTCTCCCTCACCTCCCTTTCTCATAAGTGGCGATGCCCGAGAAGATTAACCACAAGTGGGGGGGACACACGCACACTCTAACACTAGAGTAGAAAGAAAAGTAGAGCCCATCAAAGCGAGTCTATCTGCCCCGGTTTAGGAAAGACAAACTGTCATAAAACACAGATTTGTCCTCAATGCAAACCAGAAGCCCCTTTCTGGCAGGTGTGTGTGTGTGTGTGAGACAAGAGCCAGACAGCATGTGTGTGATTGTCAGACAGTAAGTAAACGGGATAACTAAAGTAAAACATAGCAGGATGGAAGATGGGAAGTAAGGAAAGAGAGAAAGATTAAGACGTGTCGACCTACGTGATGAGTTTGATTAGGGAAGAATAGAATCAGACGGTTCTACTGAACCACCTGATGACTCAAATGTCTCCATCAGACTGACAGTGAGAACAAGAGCAGACCTGAGTAGAGGATGAGAGGATGGTCCAACTCCCCTAATCAGTAAAAACAGTGAGTGTCTCGGCAACAGTAGGCGAGTGACCCCGGACCAGCTCTCGTCTTACAACGCTGGAAGAGTTTGTCTTTAGATATAACACTGACAATAAAAAGGATGTTCTTCACCACGATAACAGAATGAGTCCCGTGTCTTTAAGAGCATTACGATCAATGTACGTCATGTATAGGAACAAAAAAGTGAAACCTCCACTTGTGGTTATCACAGGCCTGGAGTACGTGTTTAAAAAGAAAATACAGACTATTTGACCCTTTGCTAAGTCCCGCCCCTCAAACACAGACTGGCCAATCAAAGCGCAGCATCATCCAGCTCCGACCAGGGTTTCACAACGACTACATGTCCAAGTAAAAACCTGTGGAGCTAACATTAGCAGAGTACCCTAGCACATCATTAACTAGCGTTAGCACTGCTATGCTACTTTAGCTACGGTATACAGAATGTATGTTAATGTGCAGTTAGTGACAGTGTGGGCTCCATGGGGGCGGGACTTAGCTAAGGGTGAATAGTAAGTAAACGTCCATCTTGCCTTTTTGCTTATCTGGTCGTAATAAAGTGGGAGCAAGCAAAACAAGGCAGCCAATCTGTCTTCTACTCTAGCCACATCCTTCATCTCCTCCTGGGGTAATCTCTGTAATCTGTCCAGGGGTTACGGGTATCCTCTCAGTTGGGCACGCCAAGCATTCCTCCACAGGAAAGAGCCCGGAGGGCATCTTGACCAGACGCCCAAACCACATCAACTTCCAGTACAAAATGAGTGGATATAGAATGAGATCCCACCAGATGTCTGAGCTCCTCAAGGTTTCACAGTCTGACTTCATGCGAGGGTTGGAATGTAGATGGACTGGTAAAATGAGCAGCAACACAAAGGGGGCAGCTGGTTTGGCTCGTCAGACCAGGCCCTCAGACTGGGAGGTGCTGAGTTTTATCCAAAGCTCTTCACACTTCAAGCTGCCCCAGTGTGAACGGGAAGTCAGAATCTGATGAAGAGATGACGACATCAGCAAAAAGCAGAAATGCAATGCCCGAAGTCACCAAACATTTTACCCGCTGCGGCTCCGCCTTTAGAACAAGTGACGAGAGACAACCTTCGTTAAGTAAAAAGCTTTTGTTTGTACTCGCGCTTGGCGCCGTAGCGGGAGCCTCCGAGGCGTTTATACTCTAAGCGCTGTTTGTTGCATGATTCTCCGAAACACCAGAGGGCGTACTAACAAAGTGAACTGTGGAGAATCAGAGAGACAACGAGTGTAACCCAGAGACATGACCATAGACTGTAGGTGTAAACGGCAGAACACCATTAAGCAGCCTCCACTATGCCAAGGAGGGATTGTGATTATCTGTAGCCTCATATCTCATATTCATGGTATTAAATGCATTACAAGGAAACAGGTTGAATATCCTGCAAACAATTTGATCAAAGTATTTATTCAAATGTAGATTTTTAAAACCTGTTTCTACAGCATCTAACAATGAATTTGTCTATTTTGTACAATCCTCAGATGTAAATAGTGCTTTAATCAATGAATTCTGAGTCACGTGATCGCGCCAAGTTACGAAAATGAATACGCCAAGGACACACTGACTGATACACAAATACTGCCCACCGGTTAGCTCATAACTTTGACCACAGCGTGCCATATTCCTGCAGTACTTCCCATAACATACGGAAAGTCCTCTGGGAACAGAACACATGTAGACAAACTCTTATGATGCATCCAGTATGACCAGGATGATCATGGAATCAGCTGGAAGCAAAGCTCCAAGAGGTGCATCTTGGTATATGTTGTCTCCCTTTTAAACAATACGACTCACAACCCAACCCGGCAGTCCATCGGCACTGTTCCCACATATCTGTTTGAGTTTGTACTTTGTTTCCACGGGCTTGAACACATTTTGCCTGATGTTAGCGGTTGGTAGTGTTTGTTGAGTGGAGTTGTTGTGTGAGACTTATCGCAGCCATACACAGAGCAGGAGGAACGGTGGAATAAACAACTGAACGTCCACGCTGCACCTGCAATTATCCTTTGATTTCATGTTTTGGAAACGGGAATTCCAAACCATGCTGATTCTGCAGACCGCGAGCCAACCAGCAGTCACGACGGTATGTACAAATAACAGATGCGCGAGAGCACTATGCAGAGAGAGGCGGATTAGAAATAGTGTGACAGACAGCGAACAGATATTAGTGTCAGAGCTCTGCTCAGGAGTCAGTGACAAGCTGGGGAGCAATGCTGCGGATGTGCTGCTGGGAGTCGATGCATTTCGACATGTGACAAGGTGAAGCGGAGCCACGGGTGAGCTGGAGCCGGAGGATATTCAGCTCCGAGTAAAGACACAAAGAAGGGAAGGAGATGAAATGACAAAGACGAGGCTCCTACCTTTCTTCACTTTCTTAGACGGCTGTTTCTTCTTGATGAACTTGGTCGCCTCCTGTGGAAGCTCCAGCTCGTCCCCGTCACCAGCCACCTCTGCAATGGGCTCGACGCCTCCTAAGTGACAGGAAGAGAGGGACATCAATGAGCCACACTGTGTATAAGCAATGTTTGAAGAAGTACCTCGATATCCTGAGCAAATGCTTCACATATTAATTATCAATATCACACAAATGTCCAACAGACGTGCATGTAAACAACAGCTTGACTGGTGGGCAGAGACATGAAACCAGAAGACTCTTATTCTAGTTTGTATTTTTGCTCACTAACACTTTCATCAAATGGATTTTATCCGCAGCGATCGCTCCCCGTGAGTTACAGATCTATAACACTTGCTCTATGTTCTCAAGTGTAATCAAATGGTTGGTGAAATGGTTGGTCAGTGATGGACATGTGTTCTACTGCACATATCATGTGGCACAGAGTTGTGCTCCGAGATAAAACTGGTTCCTACGTTAACTGGGCATCGTGCATAAACATAAACATCTTCTGTTTGCACATAATTAGAGAAGATTATCACCAGATAATTCATCACAGCTTTGAGATAATATGTGAAAGTTAAACAGAAATAAGTTAACAGAACATTAAAACAGAGTTAGAGGAGAAGCAATGCAGCATGGAATAATAGTGTTGAACATGTGGTCTGCAAGTGTTTGTGTGTGTGTGTGTGTGTGTGTGTGTGTGTGTGTGAGAGTGTAAAGTTGCATGTGTGTGTGTGTGTGTGTGTGACGAAATCCCTGCTAGAATCCCCGGGATCAGTCTGGATTTAGGGAGCTCCTGAGGCCGATGAATTGGACGCCTTGTCTCTCCTCCGTGCCCACCTCTATGTCTCCTCCTCATCCCCCTTTCCTCATTGCTCTCCTCCCCTCTCCGTCTCCTCTTCTTCATCTCCTCCCCTCTACGTGTCATCTTCTCACCACCCGTTTCCTGTCTTCTCTCCTTCCCTGTCTACTCCTCACCTACCTCACCTCCTCCACATCTTTCTTCTATCCATCTTTCCTTCCTTCCCTCCTCCTTCCATCCCTCCCCCTTTCTCCCAATGTCCTCTCCACCCCAGGATTTCGTCCAGTTTCACGGTACTTTCACTCAACATGCACTTCACACGTCGCTCCTCTGAGTCCCGTGAGTGCACGGGACACGGTGTGCACGGGACACGGCGTGCACGTGTGTGTGTGTCTGCCATCATGTCTACCTTAAGGTGTCTGAGAATGTGTGTGTGTCTCCATCTCCCCCACTGCGTCTACGTCTGTGTGTGTGTGTGTGAGTGTGTGTGAAGATTACCCTAAGCCCTCTCTAATATTTATCCTGGCCTTTTCTAAAGCCAATCTTGTTCTCTTTGGTGAGAGCACAGTCTGTGGCTTGACTCTCACACACACACACACACACACACACACACACACACACACACACACACACACACACACACACACACACACACACACACACACACACACACACACACACACACACACACACACACACACACACACACACACACACACACACACACACGCTCACTCACAGTTGTTTGAAATGGGATATGCCTCGCTCTTAATTGGGCAGGTGTTTTTCTAAGGCGGGTCGTTTTTTTTTTTACGCTGTCTTACAATTTCACGGGGAATGTGTGTGCATGTGTGTGCGTGTGTGTGCGTGTGTGTGTGTGTGTGTGTGTGTCTGTGTCTGTGAGAGAGAGAAAATGTTTTAACCTCAGTCTTACATCAACATCAGGTAAGGAAATAGCCCACCTCTGGAGCAACTTACTGTGAAACAAAATCACATCACACACAGGCCGTCTCTTACCGCTGACCTCTCTCACACATTCCTCCCCCTCTCTCTCTCTCTCTCTCTCCCTCTCTCTCTCCCTCCCTCCCTCTCTCTCCTTCCCTCTCCCTCTCTCTCTCTCTCGCTCTCTCTCTGTAAATAGTAGGTGTAGTAGCGCCCGGTCAGAGTTGTGGTGTGTATCCGTGTTCCTCTGTCCGTCGTGGTCGGGTCTATATTTGTCGCACTGGTTGTGTTATCAGTTTTAGACGACCTTGAGGTTGGGTTCAACACCCAATAAAAGCAGCAGAATGGAGGATGATAATGTAATTATATGTAGTGCTTGTAACAGCAATGGTGGTCACAGTTGAGCGGTATATGCCCCGTTTCCACTGCATGGGTTCAGCTCAACCTGACTCTACTGGACTCACCAGGTGCTTATCTGAACTCTGTTTTCCACTGATGATAGTAACCGGTCAATGAAGCACGATGGAGAAACCTTCTGACCGCCATGACACTGACGTAACATCATCTGCAACACGACCATCCAACCATCCTTCCACCTCTTCGAAGCGAACACCAATTTGCCTTTTGATCTGGAGCTTTTTGTGGGGACTTGGCGAGCAGAACATCAGGGCTTTAGTCGTGTAGTGTGAACTGGGTTTTAGTTCGGTGTTGGTACAGTTCGGGGCATTTGGAGAGATTGACGGGGCAGGAGGGTTAGATCTTCGGATGTTTGGAGACAGTTTAAAAAGAGTTTTTGGAGAGTGTTTGAAAGAGTGACATTTGGAAAGTAGACCCCAAAGGGCCCCAAACCATTTAGAGATCGTTTGAACCGCTTGGTGCAGTTTTGATGTAGTTCAAATACAGTCTGGGACAGCTGGAAACCGTGTGTAACAGTTGGAGACATTTGAGGGACAATTTGTACGCAGAAGCAGATGGTTTGGGTCGGTCCGCGACAAATTTGAGCTTGAAGAAAGTCCCAGCCATTCTGGGACAGTGTGTGGGACCGCTCGTTGCCCGTCTGTGACGGTTTAGGGGGCGCTTCGGGAACCAGTTCTGGAACCGTTCCGGACAGCTTGCGCGAGGAGGTGAAGCTGCTTCCAATAGACATGCGCCGTCTTGGTCGGCAGTGCGGAGGCACCAGCGCATTCCTGCTTTATTCTGGGCTGCGGTCTGAAGACGGGGTGACACTGTGCTGCAGCGGTTACCGGCAATTTGGCCTGCGGGCTTTACGCTATTTCAATCCCCCCTCAACACACACATCTCTGTGCGCACACGTGCAGCACGCTGGACCCACAGCTTTGCACACACTCGCATGTTTTTGAAAAAAGAAAACAGGAAGTGTGATTCCTTTAAAAACCGGTGTGTATAAATCAGACTACTCTCTTCTGTTCACATGTTGAACATTGTAGAAAGAGATCTCTGCCAGGTCAGTACAGTGACTTGTGTTTGTATGGCAGTTTGTACAGAACTGTCCCTTCAACATTGAAGATGAATTGAAGGATGAAACTTCAGGTAGTGATTGATTCTTTCCAACATGGAGCTCTGCCGTTTTATATATAGCATCCTGGAGGAGAACTCTTCAATTAGGGAATGCCACAGAGACAGAACAAAGACAGCTGGTCAGGATTACACACAGACATGACCTACACTTACACATACTACATGTATTTTCCTTTGCTCCGTGTCCTCTGAACTTACACACACACACACACACACACACACACACACACAGCCCATCTTCTCCCCTCTCTTTAGGTCCAAAATAGATGCAGGCCTCAAACCACAGCTACCAGCGGAACACTGTGAAAATAACTGCAACACACACACACACACACACACACACACACACACACACACACACACA